CTAGATAATCTCTCAATGTCCTACCACTTGCTATAGAAGAAGCTCTGGAAAATTGTCTGCAGCAGCCCAAGTAACTTCTAACAGTTAAAATTACAGTAAGTCACACCCTTTATTACCTGGTAGTGATGTGCAGTTAGCTGGAGTTGGCACATGAGTAATGGAGACCAGTTAGCAATGTTGAGAGAGAGCTACTATGTGGAAAAAGTCAGAACCAGGTCAATAAGAGATGACGCAGGTGGAGCATCAAAACCTCAACAGCTTTCTGCTGACGGGCTGCAAATATACTCCAGTCCTCCTTCTAGCAGTGTCATTCTCCCTTGGACCGTTTACCAACCCAATTAAATCCATGCCCTAGGACACAACCCTTTTTTGTTTGCTTGGCCTCGTGCCAACTTCATGCTCACCTCTGCAAACTACTTGAGTGTTGTACGTGCTCCTGCAGAAGTGTTTAATTGTTTGGTCACCTGGATTCATTTGACTTGAGGACTATTTTCTTTTCTACTGCAAGTTCTCTTGTAACTCCTGGCATCATGAGCTAAGAGGTCTGCCTTCACATTGCTGTGTTCAGTTGGAAAGGTGCAGGATAATCCCAAATCAATGCATTTTGCCATGAGGTCACCTAATCACTGCCTTTGTTTCTCTGGGCAAACACTCATGACTACAGTCAATAATGATAACAATAGGAGACCGAAGAGAGTAGGACCTCTCTTTCACCCTTGAGCAGCTCTTATGCGTTTGAAGTTCACCAGGTAAAGTTTGCTCTTCCTTGTTTTGAAGAGTTTTAGTGCAGATTCCTGCTTATTTTATGTCCTTCAATAATATCATCATGTAGCTGGGTGTGAAACTGCTGCAAAACCCTCTTCAACACGAAAGTTTCCAGTCCAGAACTGCTCCCTGTCTCAGTTTCATGTCAGTTTGCAAAATCTGAGCAGCAGCAGCAACTTAGTGGCCAGATTGCTTGGCAACCTGTGAGTAAAACTCAGCAGAAAGGGAAGTTTGAGATTGAATTTGTGTAGCAAATTATCAGATAACCATGCTCATCATTGCCAGTTATCAAAGTAAATTGGACAGATACCAGATGCTTGTAAAAGGTCATAGAGATTCAACTGTCTGCCAAGCCTTACGACGTGAAGGAGGCCAGGAGTACAGATTTCAGAAGTCTGAAATAAAAAGCATATCCCAAAAATCCTAGGGGCAAGTTAGAAAGAAGATAAACTCTATTCATTCACTGCAACAGGGAACTTTGATCATTATACAAATATATTGTGCTTACTAAGAATGTAGATAAAGCTGGGGAGGGACTTTTCATAAGGGCAGTTAGTGACAGAACAAGGGGAAATGGGTTTAAGCTGAAAGAGGGGTGGTTTAGATTAGATATTAGGAAGAAGTTCTTCACTGTGAGGGTGGTCAGACACTGGAACAGGTTGCCCAGAGAAGCTGTAGCTGCTCCTCCCTGGAAGTGTTCAAGGTCAGGCTGGATGAGGCTTTGAGCAACCTGGTCTAGTGGAAGGTGTCCCTGCTGATGGCAGGGGGGTTGGAACCGGATGATTTCGAAGGTCCCTTCCAACCCAGACCATTCTATGGTTTTATGATTTTATGCCCTTCTGCTCCGCTCTCCTGACACCCCACCTGCAGTGCTGCCTCCAGTGCTGGGGCCACCAACAGCACAAGGACATGGAGCTACTGGAGCCAGTCCAGAGGAGGCCACGAGGATGATGTGAGGGCTGGAACACCTCTCCTGTGAGGACAGGCTGAGGGATCTGGGGTTGTTCAGGCTGGAGAAGGCTCCAGGGAGACCTTCTAGCAGCCTTTCAATACTTAAAGGGGGTTTATAAGAAAGATGAGGACAAACATTTTAGCAGGACCTGTAGCACCACTGTGCCTCCCAACCCATGCTAATACAGAAGTCTCTGCAGCACACTCCCTCCAACGTCCCATGAGATCTCTACACCACAAGATCCCTGCTTGAGCTGCCAGAACAGGCACAGCCAAGGGGAGGAGTGAGCAAGGGGACAGGGAAAGGAAGTTAGGGAGAGGTAAGCAGAAGAGGGAAGGAATAGGAAAAGCCACAAGGCTCAGATACCAACCTGTGACTGTAGATTGCTTGGCCTAGCAGGTTACAAGAAGACACTGCAGGATTGCTACTACATCTACAGCTGTGTCTTCTCCTCCTGGTAAAACAACTGAGTCCCCAAAGGCTGCTCTGAGCTGCACTTCAGAACCAGAGACGCCCAGCTGGGCATCCAGGGACTGGGTCTGTTGCTGCAAAAGGAACAAAAACAAGCAAAGCCTTCTGCAAAGGTTGGTCCTCAGCTGTGAACTGTGCTTGCTCTTGGTGGCGATATGACTGTGCTGTTTATAAGAAGCATGAACTCGTTTGTCGTGTTCTTAGATTGCTTGGAATGAAAGCCAACCACCTACCTCACATCACAAGAGCTAGCAAATAAAAAATTAACCAGACTCATATTTACAACCAAGTGCACTCTAAGAATGATGCCATTAGAAGGAAATAACCCTTGTTGTTGGTTTTATTTAGAAACAATCCCCATGTACAAGCATAAGCCATACTGAGAGGTGTGTGGTTTGCAGTTGACAGCGCCGGCTGCAAAACCTCATGACCCATGGGTGAGACTTCCTTAATTACCTACCTTTGCACTTTCTTAATTAGCTGCTTCATAATTCATCCAGTTAAAACAATTCCTAAGTTGATGAGCTTTTAAGAGCATCAGCACAGGTGATTACACTGGTTTAGCTGCAGGAACGAAGTAATTATGTCTGAAGAGAGAAATGTTGTCTAGTTTTCTCCCTGCAAACCAAGCGTGGACAACCCCACAGGCTACGTTTATTGAGAGGGAGAGAAATAGGTCAGGAGTAAGAACTGGGGTGAGCACTGTGCAATTTCCTGGTCAGTGGTTACTGTAAGAGGAAAGCTGGTGTTACGCAAGAGCGCGCAGAAGACGCCTCCATGGGTTTGCGCTCCACCACATGAAGAGCTTGGTGGTCATAATGAAACAGCTGCTGCCACAAATGAGTACAAATGCTTGTAACTGAATGAGATGGTTTCCCTGCTTGGTTACCCATGGGTTGTTGAACTGGCTCTCAGTGACCTACAGGACTGGGAATATACTCAACATGATAAACAAGCACCATAGGAGTCATTTAGACCCAATGACTCCTCTGACCTACTCAGAGAAGGAAACTCAGAGTTTACCTGTACCAGGTGTATCTAATTTAAAGTAGCTTCTGTGCTTCCAAAATGAAATATGAAAATACTTGCACACAAGGTTGACCCTGGTTTAAATGGAAGTGAACAAGGAAATACAGGCTTAAAACTCTACCAGTAGAAACCAAAGTCAGAGGCCTGAGAATCTGGCTCAGGTCTGGATGAAAGATGAGTAATGTTAAAAAAAAACAATGCTGCACTAATCTGATAAAATAATAAATATTGAGTCTTGGAATCATAGAATCATAGAATGGTTTGGGTTGGAAGGGACCTTAAAGATCATCTAGTTCCAACCCCCCTGCCATGAGCAGGAGTCTTGCTAGGCTGTGCTTCTTGTGTAGATAAGGGAGAGAAAGGGCAATTCCTCCTTTCCTAAGTTAGGATACCTCAGCTCAGTAGGTCATCCCTGCCCTGAAAGTGTTTATTTCTTGTTCCCTTGATGCAGAAGGGTCCTCATCCACCACTTCAAGCCCAACACCCAGTATTTGACTGGTTAAAAAGCAGTGAGATGAAGTCATCTTTGCACATTTCCCTGCATTCCTGCTCAACCAGCCATCCAGCTGGTGGAGGAGAAGGCTGCTTATAAGGATGACATCATGTATGAAAGAGGATAGGACAAGACTTTCCCAGCTCACATGAACCAGGCTAGACTCCCATCCCAAATTTCAGCTGCAGCTCTGCAATGCAATGTCTCCAACCTCTTTTCCCACCATCCCTATTTACCATCCTCAAGTTCTAGAGAACCTGGCCTCCATTGCCAACTCCAGTTGGTTATACAGTGCTGCTTGTATAACCTCACTTCACCACTTTCAGCTCTTTTTTGCATCTTTTAACTTATTTAGGCTGCAAGTTCTCTTGTGCTCCCTCTTACTCATATCACTGCACCGGAAAAAGCCTGATCTTTGCTGAAATCTCTCAGTGCTACTGCAGCATAAACCCATTCTCCATGTCTGCTTTCATTATGAGCTACCATAAAGCGACATTCTTTTAAATAAAATTCAAATTTTATTCAGCAGATAAGTTATTGAATAAATACAGGTAAACATTTATCCTTTTTTTGGATACTCTGAGCACATACAAAGCCATAAATATAGTCATAAATAGAAGATATAAATAAAAATATAAAGACTCATTAGTTCTTTGCCATTTTAACGCTCAATGTAAGTGGGCTCAATTTCTCCCAAAATGCTGTGGAATAAGGCAGCCACTGCTCCCCATGGAGCAGCAGTGACAGAAACCCAGAGTGTGATGAGAATCAGGTCTAGTGGCACTTGTCAGATTTACACTAGAAATACACTAGTGAGTAGGGATGGTCAGAGAAGAAAAAGAGGCTTGGGGATGAGGAAGGGAGGGAGGAGGAATTTTTTGTGGCTGTGCTGGTTGGCCTGTATACATTAGGGCAATTTACTGATAAGGACAACTTTTGAAATTATAATTAATTTGATTCACCAAAGTGCAATTAAAAAAAAAACCCAACAAACACTGTTTTACTCCCTCCCTGCTTGGAGTCACAAACAAACTTCTCTTTCATCGCCCTCTCTCTCCATCATCTCCAGCTCTGGGTGATTCTCATTCTAAAATCCATAAATAAACAACAGC